AAAATTATTTTTATTGAATAAATTTTTTATCCTATTCGACCCTCAAATGACCTCGAACCTGACACTATGGACGTTAACGGATCTCGGATTCGGGTTCAGCCAGTCTTAAACTCCATTTCAGTTTCAATGAATTTTTCCCTACTTGACCTTCAAAAGAACTCGAACCTGACGTGATGGGGTCTAACAGATCTCGGATTCGCATTCAGCGCGTCGAATAACATGGGGATATAGAGGTTTGGTTCAATATGCAAAACTTTTTTTTTGTTAACCTGAAATTGAACATAAGAAAAAATATTCTTTTTGATAGAAAATTATTATTATTTTTTGATCAAATAAAAATATTTCCCTTCAGAGACCTTAAAATTGTATTTCAATATTAAAGCAAAATATGTACATTGTACAATAAATTAATTTTTTTTTGAAGATTCTTTAAGCAAATTATTCTTATTTGACTAAAAAATATATATGTATTTCTTTAATTACTCTGTAGCAATTCCACGAAAAATTTTATTTTCCCCATATAAAAATTTCGAAATAAATAATACTAGTCTCCTTATTTTCATTATTACTCAGTTCTGGGGGTTGGCAGCAGGAAAATACCAAAAAGTTAAAAATTTTTGTGCGTGTTTGGACCACCCTAATGTACATAAACTCATTCATATTGGAGCAGCCAAGCATTCATAAAATGTAAATGGTGAAGACTGTATATGATTTACGATTTTCCGTTACGATTTTCCCTACGCACTCGATGGCATCAAGCAATGTTTTACTTCAAATATATAGTTATATTCTTCCTCAACTTTTCCGCTTTTCTTCTAATATTATTCCCCTTTCACCAGTTTGCCTTTTTATAGTCCACCTTTTTATGGCCATTCGTGTTGTAACGCAGCAAGAAAACAATCGTCATATGAATTTATTCAAATTTTCTTCCCTCTCAACCTCACATTTAAAGAGTTATATACATACATATTTTATAGCATTTTTATGCGCCTCGTAATTTTCTTTCCCTTAGCCGAAGGTAAGCAGGCGTTGTTGTAAATATTTAATAGGGTTGCCTACAAAATTATTTCTATATAAGCAATGTAGTTATTTTCGGTAGACAAGTTCTGAAGTAGCGTAGTATTCAATGTTAGCCTATCTACAGATCGTATCTCATCATCTACTTGGTTGGACACTCATCATCTATTTATTGCCTTCAAAGCCGCTTTCGACAGCGCTTAAATGAGCTACCTATACTCCGCGATGTCTGAATTTCTCTCCCCACTAAACTTATACGGTTGTGTGATATAAAGTTGGAAATTTAAATGACATAAAGGTCCCCTTTGTAAGAAAAAAATAAGTATGTCCTTTTCGTAGTGATAATTACATATTTATGGAAATCAGCTGATGAAATTTTGCTGAGATCAGCATTGCAAACTTTGTTATTTCCATTTAAATGAACTTTTCATTATGAAAACACTTCTTGTTTAAAGTAGATTTAATTGACACTTTAACTAAAAGGAAACTTTTGCAAAAGGAACATTAAGTACTTCATTACGAAACCGGCGCTAAGAGTGCTAGAACTGAACTGATTAGGTAACATTTTTTACAAGAGCGTACAATTTTCTGATGTATGCCGGTACCATTGACATCAGCGGTGGAAACAATGGCTCAGGTTGTTCCGCCTATTCTAAGTTGGATATGGAAGCAAAGGGAATGGGCTTAAGAAGATTGAGAATCTCTGCCGTCTAGCAAAAGCTCAGCCTCTTTCCATTACACTGCCCATTAAATCAGAAATATGCAGTTGAAAAGTCTGTAAGTTGCACTTCTGTTGCATATTTCACGATGATGAGAAAGCTTAACGCTGAATATTGACATAGAAAATCCGGAATTGATTTAACGCCAAAGTTAGAGCATTTACAGAGCGAAGCCCACCCATTTAAATAAAACAAAAGTTGGAAGCTATATATATATGGTTTTTCCTGAAGAAGATAGAAAGAATTCTCTCGATTTTTATTATGCCATCTAATTAAAAACTAAATATAGCAAATGACAAAAACAAGTCTAAACTGAACTGTTCCCGAACCCGGGACCTGCTGAATGGCAGTTTACCTACTTACTTACTTAGCTACGGTGGTCGCTTTACCTAAACTATTCTATTTAATTACATACATTTAAAATCAACTCAATAAAACAATATATAAGATTAAGAGTTAGGTTAGGTATGCTGGCCCACATAGTGGGCTTCGCAGTGACCTTTAAGGTCCATAGCGTTACCAAGAGCAGTGCTGAAAAAAATCGCAGCCCTCTTGGTTAACTGAAACAACTTGTTGTACTCTACCTTGGCGGCGGCTTCCAGACTAACCCGCAGTCTGCTAAGGGCAGGAAGCTCGCAGAGGATATGATCCACTGTCCCTCCTGTGTTCTGCATCCTACAGATATTATCGTTAGTCAGAGCCAGTTTAAGGGCGTGCGATGCCAGCGCAGGCAATGTCCAGTAAGGACAAAGTTCGAGGGGTGTTTTCCCACGCCTTCTGCGCTTTCCATATCATGGGTAGGTCGAGTTCCCGTTTAATCGCCTGGAGGGAAATCGGCACCTCCTCTATCAGCATGATTTCAGACAAAGTATCAGCCTGTCGGCCTCTTCGTTGCTCGCGACGTCGGTGTGCCCCGGATCCCACTTCAGAGCTGCTCTGCCACACTTACGGAGGAAGTGCTGTGGAATAGTAGCGCCTTCATTGTACCTGAATGTCTACATAGAGATTCCGCCGTCTTCCTTATAGCCAATACCTCCGCCAGGAAAATGTTGCAATAGTTTGGCAGATAATAGATTTGTTAAGGCCGAGCTCCGCACATACGACTGCCTCATCTATGCCCTTCCCCAACTTCGATCCGTCTGTATAGACATTCACATCACATCACATAGTCAATCCGTGCGCGTAAAGTCGACGCTATACTGCTGTGACCGTTAGACCTGAATACAAACTGACCCGTAACATAAAGCCTGGCGGCAGTTTATGACGCTATATTCTTGGCCGATAGGTCCGCCGGTAAGAGATGAAACAAGGCGTAGAGTGCCGCGTCGGTGTAGTCCTAAGTTTCCCTGCCATGCCGATCATTGATAACCTATATACACTTCCTATACTCTTAACAAATGTTTTGAGTAGTTTTCCTACATTTCATATAATTCATATGAGACTCAATCAAGCACACTTTCTCTATAATTCACATAAAATAAATAAGGTATATCTATGGAATTTTCTTTATTTCTGTTTTACCGCTTAGCCTTGAACCTTTCCGACTATCTTCTTGTTTTCATAGGTCATGTTTCTCTCTGCGATAACGCCAGTTGCTGTATGGCAAAGACTTCAGCCGTCAGGCAGACGATGTAACTGCGTGATATGTACGTTCTCCGAATATAAATCATGGCCAGCTTCGTAGAAATCGTAAAAGAATTCGAAAGCCCCAGAATGGCGTGGCGTGATTTGTGCAGGCATTTTAGCCAGGCTTGATTCTGTTATTACGTACTCTTTTAAATTGACTCAATGGCACCGCGTGTCCACAGTCAACTTAGGTCCACAATTTTGATTCCCTTATTATACGAAGCTATTTTGCGGCTGCACCTGCGATGAAGCTTGTGCTGGATTTATTCGAAAGTTCTAGGAGTGTCTAGAGTTTGATTTACCGAGGCCGGCAAGTTTCCACCCGTTCCAGATGCTCATACATAGATAAGTCAAATTGTATTAGATTTAGACTGAGAATGGCGCTTTTTGGGGCACTTGCTACTCGTTGCATTGTAAATCCCTATAAGCTACTCCTGATCATCACAGACGAATGCAATTTTAATTTAGAAAGTTAAAAGACAGTACGTTTAGTTAAATAAAACTTCAATATAAGTGATTTTTCTTCATTTGGCAACCTTGGCGTGAACTTAGACTGATTTAGCATGCTATAATTTGGACTTCTCTTTAGTTTTCTGCGGGCAACTCGAATTTTCATATTTGTCGTATTGCAAGGGCATATCAATGCATAGTTTGCAGCCAACTTCTGTTAAGGATTTTGTGTATGTTTGACCAGTGAGCATTTGCCATTTCCGCCGTTACGGCTTAGACTTTTGTGAATATACTCATACGAGTATGTAGATATTTCTTATTGTAACGGGTGATTTTTTAAGAGCTTGATAACTTTTTTTTTAAA